CGATTCGCTTCGATGGTAAATCGATACTGGCATATGTCAGAGAGTCAAGCTCGCCATCAGCTTGCTTGTAAGCAACCCTTAGAAGACGGAGCCATCAACAGCTTTGCCTGCTTGTAGTTGTTACTGTTTGCTTTTGCTACCCTCGGACTACTTCTCGAGTATCTCCACTTCTCACTGAAAGCGAAATACGGAAAAGGTTTTGACTTCGACTTCATGTCTTCAAAATCACGTATAATATTTCACACATTTGAAAGATGAAGACCTGCGGAACTCAAAATCTCCTCAATAACTTATTTACTTTATGGGACAAAGACACGGAGCTCGGAATCTCCTCAGTAGTTTCCTCAGGCTGGGAAGAAAAATCTCAAACTTACCGGTACCATCCTATAGTTTCGTATGCCATCGCATCAAATAACTTATACTTTACGATAATGGTGAACCAGGGCAACACAAGCGAAGAAACCGAGGTAGCTTAGCTTTTCCCCTCTCAAAGACTCAATCACATGCGATAATGCCTAATTGCTGTATCAGATTTTTAAACTTACGGAGAAGATTGACCTGATCAATCCAATCGAAGAAATGCACATTGGGGTATGATGAAGCGAATTTTTCCCGTTCTTCATCGCTTACTGCTAATTTAACAATAAAATCGTAGTCCGAAAAGCGAGAAAATGCCAACAGCGCATCGGTTTTCATTTGTTCTGGCATTTTAACCGTGTCAACAAGCGATCCAAGTGAAAACACCACCACGCCTTTGCGCGCATTCTTATATAAATCCGCAAATGGCTGCAGAAAATTAAATTTTTTGGAGATAAGAGAACAATCTAAGCAATTTAATGGGCCGAAATACACTACTACAGGTCTAACTTCTGCTCTTCTTACGCGTTACGAAACCCGCTTACTTTCTGGATGCCCTCTGGATAAGAACTGTGCTTTTACCTTTTCCATTACTGATACTTGCTTCTTAGTAATACCTCCAACGAAAACAACTTTACTGGAAATAGGCCGTGCGATATCGATATTCGGTAAGGTATTAACGAATGCAACAGCTGCTCGTTGTGCCAGATCTCTCAGATCCGGGAAGTTCTCACTTACCATACGCCTGAAGAGTGCGTTCTGAAAAAGTTTCTTCACTGACAGCCAGCAGCATTTTCCTATGTTTTGCAAAATCCGGAATTATTTTTGCATACAAGAAGCTCCTTCATGCTAGGAATGCTATGTCAGGGTCGGTAAAGTCCTTATCGAGTTATGTCCCTTGGGACTGTTACTTCCAATGTTAACAAATATCTAGCGCAACTATGCTAGGCCTCCTGCTTTTCAGCTGCTAGCGCTAGTATCATATTTTTGGAGGTTATCTCAATAATGGTTTGCTTCTCCTAACTGTGATTTGATGATCCGTGACGATCCGCTGGCATGCTGTTTTTTTGCTCAATGAATTTTTTTGCAAATCTGGAAAATATTTTTGGTCTGTGCTAACTGTTTTTAAAAAATACACAGGAAAACTTGTTTGAGCTGCAGTTCATACAGTGGCTCTTCACTATGCAGCTGGCAATCTTATTTTGCTTTGATCAGTGCTGCGTAAACCGATGATCAGTGTGCTGGCGATCCTGACGTTCGTTTTGTCTCCTGGAGGGGTGATTTACTCAACATGGATGCTACAAACGGCTTACTGTCTTAGTGCTTCTGACTGAAGCGTTTTGACTGTTACGATATGTCAAGAACACCAAAACCGCTCAAGCAATCAATATGAGGAACCGTCGCTAGAAATGCACGCTAGGAGCAGCTATGCCACTCCCTCCGATTCTGAACTGCATACCTCCAGTAGATATTCACCGCTTGTTCGATGTATGTGTGCAACTTCTTCGACAGCTGGCTGTTTACTCTTTCGCGGGCAGCACTATCTGATGCACGGCGCGCACCAGCTGTCAGTAAAGCTAGCAAATAATATTTTTATAAAAGTTATTAAAAACGATACTGGAAATGTACCTGTGAATTATACATTTTTCTGTAAAATTCATAGCGCGTAAAGATGTTGATGAACAAATTGTACATACGCTGAGAGAATGATAACTGCGGAGCGTTGATAAATGAATAAAATACTGCTACAATTTTTAACTTGTATCATAATGACTAATCGTCAGCAGGCTGACTAATATAGCAATAGTCAGAAAAACTGGAAAAACTGTTTGCTGCATAGCGGGAAAATTAGGCTGTGAATTACACTTCACCAAAGCACCACAGCTATTAATGCTGGGAAAAAAATTGTTCCGGAAAAAGGAATGCCAGAATGCTAAAAGGGTAAAATAGTCGGCGTAGTTAAAACGACTGAATTTAGGTTTCTCTTCCAGTTATTAGAAGCAGTGAATCCTGGTTTCATCAGTGAAAATACAGTGAGATTTTCGTGTTTATCACACTAGCGAAAAAAAATCGGGGTAACTAGTTATAATGGTAGCAAGTACCAGGAACAATCACGCGCTGGGAAGGCTATCGATGGTCTTCTCTTTCAAAGGTTGTCCAGAAACAAGCTGATTGCAGATTTGTTCCTCTGGTATGCGCCATTACCGAATGACTGAACGGTAGAAAGATTGGTTGTTCTACAAAGGATCAAAACCCTCGATATTCAGCATACAGCATAATAATGAGAACATACCAGTTACATAACTTGTCGGTGATGGAAAGCCCCATACTTCAGCAAGTAGATCGGTAACTGTAGTGGCAAACAGAAGTGCCGTTGATTTGATTCCAATCACTTCGAATAATCCACATGAACAAAATTCGTACATTTCGGTGAGTCCTAAATCGTAATTATCCGCCCGCAGCTCATCGATTAGGGGCTTGCTCAATAAAAATTCTGAAAAAAAATGGCTGTAACATTGTTCTGATTCTTGCAAATCCACTTACATACACATGTACATACACAAACACTCACCTACACAAAACGCGCACAAACAAATAAACATACACACACAAACATACACGTAAATTCAGAGACTCAAACACCTACAAAAACACACATGCACACATATGTACAAAAACCAAAAAAAAAAAAAA